TGTGTGTGTGTGTGTGTGTGTGTGTCAGTAAGCAGCGCATTAATATAGAACGGTAATTAAAGGCTCTAATGCACACCAGCACACCAGTATGTGTGTGTATTGTAGGAGCTAGACGACGTATGATGACGTGTGACGTATAGTAGTGGTGTCCCAATTCTTTGGGGAATATTTTCACCCCTACCCCTTGACACTCTGTTTCAAGGGACAAGGGGAAGGGGTATAAAATAGAATTGGGATTGGGCCTAAGTATGTACTAAAATATATACTATCAGATATTGCTCACTGAATGTTATTACAGGACAGAAGGAAAAGATGTGCTGCTCTACAACTTTGCTTGCTAGCTAAAGTTAGCTACTTGTTTCTATGGACAAAATGAACATTTTAAAGGGGCTTTATGAAAGAATTTTCAAGTATTAATCGCTTTTTATTGCCAATATGTGAACAGCATGTAACAAAACTTAAAAAATGAGAACCTGTAGACTGAAGGACTCCAAGGGAAACTATCATAAGTGTAATTTTAATGAACCACATCTGTTGACATGATGTCGGTGAACTGGCCGTCACTCGCTCGCATTTCTATGGAGTGTGTGCAAGAGCACGAGCAATAAGTTGCTGGCCACACAGCTCACTTAACGGCCACCGGTGTCGCTAATAACAAGGATTTCTGAATTCTACATAAAGCCATTTAACAGCTAAATATCAGCATTTTTAGGAGTTAATCTTTACTGTTGACATTGACTTTACTGCTCATTAACTTGAGCCATCCTCTTGAGTAGGACTAGGTGGTATGACAATACAGTTTCGCAGGACTGCTTAATTTTTGACATGCTGATAAAGAAACATGAAAAAAATAAAGCGTAGACAAGCTCAAGTAAATGCAGTCAGTTGTGTCTTAAGTGAACATAAGAAATTAGAAGAAATATGGATCAATATATTGGATATATTGTTTAGGGTTAGAGAATTATGTTGTTTATAAGTTGTTCAAGGAGGGGAAAGCACTTCTCTTTCTCCTATGTGTTTATCTAACTCCAGTATTGCTAAATGTAATGGC